ATTGATATATCAGTAGACTATAAAAAGTTTTGAAAGAATTGGGGAACTATACTATGGTGTGTATGCCCTTATATTTTTCAATTATGGGTTGTTTGCCTGTGAGAGAGCTTTCACATGTTTATTTTATCTTTGTATTAAATCTTAATTGTTTATTTAATATTACGGCGTTTGGATGTATTAATACTCATCCACGCCTGCTAATTTTTATTATTGCCCCCCTGCTATGGTTTTACTAAGATTTCTTACAATCTCTGTTTTTGCCCTGTGTTTGTTATATATGTCAGTTTTGTAATACTTAAGTCTTTACGTCGGGCCTTTTATAACAGTTTTTGTATGAGTTCTTTTACTGCTTTGCCTATTATTTCCTATTCCGTAATTGTGACCTTCATTCAATGTTACAACCTCCGGTCTTTTTTATTGTTCCTATACCGGTACCCCTATTTAATAATCATGATTTTACGGAATGGAAAGAAAATTATTAACAACACAACTTCTAGGTTATCCACGTGCTTAAATAAACGTATTTGTAATGCCACTACAGCCAGATTATTTAACAAAAATGCACGTGGATATCCACAAATTTTCCCGTGCAATGCCAAAAAATGACTAACCTGTTTTAGATTAACTTCTCAAAATACTGTAGGGTCAACAGTGAACGGGAGAACTTTTTCGCTCTCCTTTTCCTGTAATATTACCTGAAAAACTCAAAACCTGATATATGTGGTAACTTGAACCAAACCTATGTGTGGTATTCAATATGTGGGACAGACGGGACGAGAATATTACAAAAGAAATCAAGAACACCTTTACCGCTTTCGTAGACCCAAAAAATTCAAAAGTTTGATATATCAGCATTTAGATAAGCATAATCACAATCTTAAATTTATAAAATTCCAACCCCTCGAAACCGTTCAGAAACAACCAGGAGAATCACACAAGCAATTTGAAAAATCACGTGAAGTTCGCGAATTATTTTGGATAAAAAGACTTCAAACAGCTTATCCTCTCGGTCTCAATGACAAAATATTAGGACAGGGGAACATATCTAGAACTTCTATCGATGTCATTACTATTGTTGATAAACGACAAGGAAATAATAGGTCTCATGGTAAACGCAAAACCCGCTATCAACGTATTAAACATCGTATAAATTATACACTTGCTGATCTGTTATCTATAATAAAAAATAATGGCAGACATCAAGTATTATGCAAACTGGGTCAGATACTAATAAGTAAATTATATGCTATTTTTATGGAGTGTGAATTTCGTTTTTAAGCCCGTTTTATGAATACACCCGTATTATTACAGCCTTTTGTCATCACAGGCTGTTTCCTAGTATCGATAAATCCGACAATCATAAACGACATTTTCATAAATTAAAATATATAAATAGAGGTATTGATTTTATTAACTTATCTAGCATATTTAATGACTCTTCCGTCTATAGCCAAATACCTCCATATTTTGATAATATAGAACCACCCATTATTTCGTATTCTTATAAAAAACCGAGCAGAAGTTTGAATTTTAATTATACGTCAGTTACATCAGACGTCAATATAGAAAATAATGTTCCTTCGACTTGAGACTGTGAAACATCTAGTTTTAGATAAGTTCCCTATGGTCATGTTATTACAGGAGACCTCAACATCGTCGAAGACCGTGAGGTCAAAACTTTTCTAAAGAAAGGACCGAAATACCATCATCCATCTATAGTAGATTGGAAACAGTGTCGTCAGGTCATTAAAGACGCTCTGTCTGCCTCTTTAAAAATTGGTGCAAACGTGAAAAATCTGATAAAAATCTCTAGACAGTTATTTGAATAAAATTATGAATACTGTTAATATTCGAATATCTCATTTTGAAAACAATTCTGAAATTAATAATAGGGTCCATAATATTCCCATTTCTAGAATAAAAAATAAACTCCAAGTACTCGCAGAGCGGTTTGTGTTTGTACCGGCAGACAAGGCAGCCAATAATGTAGTGGTGGTATGACGCATATACTACACGGAAGTTCTTCAAAACGCAATTATCAATTCCTCTACATTCAGGTCCGTACGTACCACTGAGAGTCAAATCGTTAACAAGCATATCACTGCCACTACCCAGCTAAAAGCCTCTTTCGAACATTTGAAAGTCCCTACCATGTACTGGTTACCGAAATTACACAAAAAAACATTTAAATTCCGTTTCATCTCCGCATCTAGTCAGTGTTCTACTACTAATCCAGCAGTGCTTCTTACTACCTCCCTTACTACTATCAAAGAACTGGTTATTAACTTTTGTAATACAGCTTATGAAAATAATGGTATTAATTATTTTTGGAGTGTTAAAAATTCTTTAGAGGTTTTAGATAAAATACATGCTTTTGATGGTCCTTTTAATTCTGTCGACAGTTATGATTTTTCTACTCTCTACACTACACTTCCACACAATCTAATAAAGAAAAGTTTTCATATCTAATAAAATGGTCTTTCGAAAAATCTCATTGTAAATTTATTTGCTGTAACTCGTTTAAAGCCTTTTTCTGCAATGAACAAGGAAAATATGCTAGATACACTTACTTGAAATGTGAGGATATGATTGAAGCTTTAAATTTTCTCCTAGATAACATATATGTACGTTTCGGCGATAAAGTGTATCGTCAGGTAGTAGGTATTCCTATGGGCACTAACTGCGCCCCTTTAATAGCAGATTTATTCCTGTAATGCTATGAATCTCAGTTTATGACCAAACTCAGTAAAGACACATCATTGTTACATTTGGTTGATACATTCAACAATACCTACCGTTATCTGGATGATATTTTTTCGTTAAATAATCCAGAGTTCTCTAAAAAATACTACCGAAATTTACCCAAAAGAACTTACTTTAACTAAATCTAACATTAACAGCAGCAGTTGTCCTTTTCTAGATTTAGACATTTCAATTTCTAAGGGGAAACTCCATACTAAAATTTACGACAAAAGAGACGATTTTTCATTCCCTATTGTATATTTTCCTTTTTTAGACGGCGATGTGCCTTTGGCTCCATCATACGGTGTTTATATATCCCAACTCGTTCGGTATGCCCGTGTGTGTAGTGATGTCATAGATTTTAACGAACGTAATCAATGCATCACTGGTAAATTATTAAGTCAGGGATTTCGTTACCATAAATTACTTAAAACTTTTACTAAATTCTTTCATAGATACAAAGATTTGATTAGTAAATTTGGCTGTACCTGTTGAAAACTTATTAAAAATGGTAATCCACATCCTAAATTTTACGGTAATATTGTACTTAAAGCGCGGAAATCACTATGTGATCCGTGTAAACTCATCGAACCTTTAAACAAACTTATTAGTAAGGTTATCGTACCAATGTTGTAATTAGATCTCTGAATATAGTTTACATTGGCACTAATATCGATTTTGTCATTAGCAAATTAAAACATAACTAAATTTGTATTTTCTTTTCAAACGGGATGTATAGAGACACACATTTTTATCTATAAAGAAGTCACTCCTAACTATCCTACTACCTGTCGATACATTTATTTTTGGCATTGCACAAGTCATGTCTTTTTTGACTGTTCATGACGTTAAAATACTAAATCCCTGGGATGTGTTTTAGTTGATTTCAGTCTCTAATGCATGATTTTCTATTATTAATTGTTTTGGCTTTTAACTAGCTGTCAGTAACTGCGAGTACTCACAAATCGTACTTTCTTGTTAATTTGACCTGTTGATACTATTTGTAATGCTTTTTTTGTTATTTAATGTTAACATGGATCTTGCCTATATACCAGCTTTGATTATTTGGAATTACTACAAATTTTCACTTCTTCGTACTATGAACATCAAAATTATTTCATTTCTCCTTAAATACTGTTCTTGAACCTGTACAGGAAGTTTTATCTAGCACTAATTGTATAGTTTTATTGTTGATATTCACCCCATATGTACCAAGTGTTAGATTAGTTTTATTGATATTTAAGAAATTTCTTGGTATTCCTAAACGGAAGATTTTATACACACAGAAGAAGAAGTATACTTAACAACAAAATAATTTTCATTTACCTGTGTATAATATGACGCAGGTTTTTTCAAAAGTGATGATTTTCTAAAAATTGTTTAACATTTCACAGTGGTATCGTACTTTAACTTTGTTTAAACCTGTTTATTTACTTTTGACCTTAATTATTTATCCCTTAAAATTTTTATTAACTATGTATTTTCATTCAGGTATCACAGATCAAATTTATTCGTTCATTGTGTGTTAATTTGCGTTTTTTGATTGAGTTAAGCCTTCCAATTGATATTTTATAGTGTGTCTTTCTATATTGTGATGTTATACTATTGTTTCAGAAAAGGGAGAAGGTTTGGTACCATTAAAACGTTTAATCCCGCTGCAAATGTTTGCACCTGTCCTAAGTCAGGAATCTGATGTACAGTAGTTGTTGTCTGTTTATGTAGTTCATACGTGTTTCTCGTTTCTCGTTTTTATATAGATTAGACCGTTTGAATAGTTTTACACTAGTAATTTTTGGGGCCCTTTATAGCTTGCTGTTCGGTGTGAGCCAATGCTCCGTGTTGAAGGCCGTACCTTGACCTATAATGGTTTACTTTTATAAATTGTTACTTGGATGGAGAGTTGTCTCATTGGCACTCATACCACATCTTCCTATATCTATGATTGCTAATTCAGGTGCAAAATGATTCTAATCATACCGCCTATGATAATAAAAAGAATGAGAATGACAGAGGTTGATTTTCGAGTTTCAATGGTTTAAAACTTCAACTTTAGATATAACCACAATTTAGGTCAACCTCTTATCATCTTACATACATGTAATTCAGATTATCAGGGTCTACCAGTTTGAAATTGTACTTTTTCAAATTGATCATAATTCTTTTTTAATTTTATGTTCTTAGATTTTTCGTGTTAAACTCATGTACAAAACTTAAGTAATCATATTACTAGCATATAGAAACATTTTTTTTTATTTCAGGTTTTACAAAGGCAGAATATGAAACACTTTATAATAAGACGATAGAATTTATAAAAACAAGGAAAAGTCATTTCCGTTCCATTGAGTATTTCTATAGAAACAAGTCGGAAAAATATTTTGCTTCGATTACAGAAGACCATAATGGAATTATGAAGCCATACAAAAAGGATCATAATGGTGATCCTTGCTCCATTATAAACGGGCGATTGGATGGTTTATTTTTCAGTACAGCTGTAGATTTTCAGAAAAATCAACCATTCAAATACTCTCCGTTTGGACAGCTGAGGTTACATATTACAGCCAGGTTTTTATTCATCCCAAATCTTAATCTTTACTTTGCTGACTTTTATTGTCACTATAAAGTTCATTGTGTAACTGTAATTCTGACTAGAAAAGAATACTTTGCAGACAATTTCTGTAAAGCACGTCTTAAGAAACTCGATATACATAACAATCCATTCGTCTGTTTAAAAACATCAAAAAAATCAAATATCATACAGATGTGTCAGGGCAATGGTCTGAGAATAGAGGTTCTGAATACAGAAGCCCTGAATATTCATGAAATAATAAGAAAACGACAAGGACATTTCAAACGAGTACCAATTATGGGTAGAGGTGAAAGTAGACCAAACGGCATTCCTAAGAATGAAAACTGTAAAATTTGCAACCTTTAAGATATACAACATTTTTCTTATATAAATGTATAGGCGCAGTTGTAACGATGTCATGGAAGTACAGGTTCAAATCCTCCTATCGCCACGATATAGCCTTTTCGTGCAGATGCGGCGTACAGCAGTCACCAATCAATCAAATCCCGCTGAGGGATGAACAAAAATTTGCGTCACATTAACGTTTTGACTACTATTGTTTGTCATATATTATGCATATAAACAACCTTTTCGAACATTTTGTACTTTGACGTTGTATGGGTTTTATAAACTAGAACGACTAGGGACTCTTGTAAATTTATGAATAAATATATAAGATATATTGAATATTATTTTGTGCTTGCAATCGTGCAAATGATTTTTTTTATTATTCCTATCTCGTAACGTTTTAGAAGAGAGGCGAAAGATAACAAAGGGACATTCAAACTCCTAAGTCGAAATAAACTGACAACGTCATGGCTAAAAAGAAAAAGACAAACAACAGTAAACAAAACACAACATAGAAAACTAAAGACTGAGCACACGATCCCCACCAAAAACTGGGGGTATCTCAGGTGCTCCGGAAGGGTAAGCAGATCGTGCTCCACATGTGGCACCCGTCGTGTTGCTCATGTTAGTACAAACCCTGTAATAAGTCTGATTCGGTAGGTCGGGATTGAAGTTACGACAATTGGAAGATATCCGCTACCATCTGTGAAATGGATATTCCATAACATCAACCAACTCGTGATGGCGTCCGTAAAATTTAGGAAGGGAAGATTCCAACTTCACTTGGAACTCTTGTTTTAATAGCTTCCTTGTGAGCAGCAACCCTCTATCAAGGAAATCATGATAGGAAATGCAAGCCTAGGAATATCGTATCAACTTGGAGATATATACTCCGTATGCAGGCGTTGCTGGAATGTTGCTACATAGAAATGGAATGTTCACAATTGGGAAGCTGAAATCATCTCTTTTGTTGTAAACTTTTTTTTTCACCTGACTCTCTTCCTGGTTGCTCCCTGTTGCAATTTTGACATTCTTTTCTTTTTATTTAGTGAACATGCTTAGCACATGGCCAACCCTTTTCATCTAAGGGTCAAATTAAAGGTTGCATACAGAACTTGAGTCTAAATCGTAGATACAATGAATATTGCCATGTTGCAGTCCTGTGAAATTTGATTCAATTAGAGAAAATCTATCAAGACTGTTCATATCTTGCTTTTGGTGCTGCCGTTTTCAAGTGTTCTCCTCACTGAAGATTTTTTAATTTGTCTTTTCCTCATTACATTCCAAACGTATGATACTTGCAGCAATACACAATAAGTGTATTCCCCGGGGTAATTTCCGTGGACTATGAATGTAGCTAGCTGTGTTCGTCTTCGTTACATGCACGGTGCATAGAATTTTTTTAAAGTATATCTGCTTGTGCAGGCGATTGTCTTTTATTATACAATCTAAAGATGAAGATATTTTACAAATTTGTGGTTGTTAACCAGATTCGTCGACAAGGTAAAAAAATTCTCTCTTGTAGTCCATATATTGATAGGTAGCAGTGCAATTCCATATTTATATTGTGTATCAAATTTCCAACACAGTACCGGAACACATCTAGTGATAGATGATTTTTACAATAACTGTGTCGATACCACAACCCAGCTGTCAGCACTTCTGTGTGTTCGTGAAATATCCCCGATACCATAATTTTTATATAAATATATACTGTTAATGAAATGTAAAAATCTTTGGAAACACTAAGAATTACCTATCCACATGCATTATATGGCCGTAGCTATATTTGGTGCAGCAACATATTCGTAATTGATTTTGCCTTTTAACTGTTTTGATTTGAGTCCAACTGATTTATCATATATAGACAAACTTCGCACCTGGCGTATATAATTATAAGCCTGATATCTTTGAAAATTTTATCATTGTAAGTGACTGTTATAGAGAACAAAAGTCACACCTAGAAATGTCAACTGGGGGCACTAAAAGGGGAAATCGGTTTTCGGGAGATTAATACACGTTGAAAAGACAAAGATTGTTCATTTTAGAAATCCCTCTAAAAAACCAACAATGAATATTTTTACCGGAAAAAATATGTGTGTTGTAATAAATATCAATATCTCAGCTGATTATTGACCGAATTTCTAAATTACAATGAAATAGCGAAAGCTGTAGCAAGGTCAGCAGACAGAGCATTGAGTTTACTGATTGTAAAGAGTAAACCATATGGAGGTTCCCACTTTTATATATATTGCAAACTTTTTGATAGCCTGGTTTGGTCAGTAAGAAGTTATGGTGCAGCCATCTGGGGCACTAGAGATTTTCCATGCATAAATGCTCTTCATCGCAGAGCTATCCAGTTTTTATGGGTCTTAGTAATTATACGCCTAATTACGGCATAAAGGGGGATATGGGTGGGAAACCTCCATGTGTTAAGCAGTGAAGTTGGGGTTAAGACACTGGGCTAGATGTTATGATATATTAAGTGAATTATAGTTTTACGATGGGTTTTTAGTGATGCTATAAAGAAAAAGAAAGAAAAAACTAGTGTAGCAGAATTATTACAAAATTTAGAGAATACATTTTAGAATTATATACTGAAAAGTAAACTAGCAAATATACCGAACTCTAAGGAAAATTCAAAACGTAAAGTCCTTTATCAAATGGCAAAATCAAAAGCTCAAACACATCAAACGATTGGAAAACAACTGTCATATTTCTGATTTGGTACAGGCATTTCCTTATGTAGAAGATGGTGGATTAAACCTGGTTTTATAGATAGCTAAACCTCTCACTATGTATGACAGTCGCATAGAATTCCATTATATTGACAACAATTTGTGAGCAAAACAAACATACATAGTAGATAAAAAAAGTAGATCTAGATAATGTTTTGTATAAAAATGTTATCACACAGTTAGAAGATTTTTTAATTGATAAATATAAGGTAAATTGGTAGAAAAGAATATTTTCGCAAAATGTTGGAAAACAATTATAATTAAATTGTTTAAAGATGTTTTTGAAGCAGAGATTTATTTGAGAAAGAACATTTCAAGTCGATACAGCAGTGCATTTACTACATTTAGGTGTGGTGTCGCTCCTTTGCGAATAGAAACAGGTCGAAAACAAAATTGAAATTGAAAGAGTATGCTTTAAATGTAGTAATCAGATTGAAGATGAGAAACATGTATTAGACTGTCCTTTATATGCATATTTGCGTGAAATTTTATTTTATGAAGTTGAAAGAAGTATGTTTTTACAGAACTAAAATGTTTTATGGACATGATAAATATATAGTTATAATTTATTGAAATTTCTATAGTTTCTCATAATTCTTGATAGAATGGCCCTTATATTTTAACTTCTAAAATTTCTGTTTTTTACAATGTATATAGTATGACGCTTGTGTTTTATATGTATTACAAGTAGTGAGACTTTAATAAAATATTGAATAAAATATTATGTAACCACTTTGTTTAATCCTGGACATGTGAGGCTTTATGTATTATCATTTCTTATACGTGGAATATTAATCAAAATTCTGTCTAGTTTTTTAATCTATTTTGTAAATGTCGGGGTTATAAATCAGATAAATAAATTAAAACTTCGACCTTTTAGATAATTTGGTGTTTTTAAACCCGGCAGTGGTAGTGTTACTCTCAAATTTAGAAATTAAAATCTTGAAAGGAGGAGGTATCATAAATTGAGAGCCATTATTTGGACCCTAAAATTGCACATAAAGTAAAACCCTTAAATTATGTACATTGTTTGCTAAAAGAATATCATGGTATAATCTTGACACATGTGATGTCCCTGTGATGTCCTTATCATGTCATGACGTTTCGAATTGGATATATATTAACTGAAATGATCATTTATTCTTCTTTTTTTTTGGCAAAATTAGATTGACGTTTATCCACATTTGTTTTTATTCATAGAAACATTATATTCTCGTATATCATCAAAAACATCATCAGTGATATATCCAATCCTAGTATGTTGGTCTTGGAAGCATAGGGAAATATCAAATTCCTGTGATTTTCATTGTCATATATGACTTTCGAAAAAGAATGAATAAATGATTTAAGCAAGCTATCATGGTATATTATAACTGCACGACCAAGTATTGCATATGCCAGAACATGTGTACAGTTTTCTTCTTTTCCATTACAGGATAGAGTAACCAAAAATATTTATCTCGAAAACGTTTATATGAAAACAATTAGTCTGCGTTTTCTGTCAAAAACACACACAAACACACGCATATTATACTTGTAAAAAAACAAACTATACAAATAAACAACAAATTTTGGAGGCAATGTGTATATACAACATTATCAAACTAGTTTAAAGTAATTGCTTTGTTTGTGTTTTTTGTTTTTGTTGACAAAAACACTTTTTTAGAGCCTTTTCGTTTTGTGTAGCGTAAATGCATTAAAAGATCGTATTTCAATCTACAAAAATATTGCGTATTCACTAGATATATCCCGGACTGTTTTCGAAAAAATCTGGAGTGTCTGTAAATGTAATGATATATAGATTCTATAAACGCATTTTCTATTAAAATTGCTTTATGTCACATATTGGAAAAAAAGTATTCTCACCTTGTATAAGTTCAAACTAAGTGTGGTAAATAATCACTTTTTTTATCACATATACTAAAGTACCTTTTATATTTATTTTAAGCTTTTGTTTAAAATTTTACCAGACATATTGTTTATTTACATTTCATATTATATTCATTACACAAAACCTGGTCACACTCGAAAAAACCCGATCAATTCATTTAAATAAAAAACACGATACAAACCGGACACTATACCTACCGTGTCTTATGTTATGACACGACAAACAGGAACATGAGCCACTTAAAAACATATACCTTTATCCATGTCTGGTTGCATCCAAGCATATCAGCATTCATAATTCTTAAATGTTTCGGTTTACATTCTTTTCATTTCACGTTATTGTATTGTTTTATTAAGTTTTGTAAGTACAGTAATTTTTAACACTCATCACACTATTTCGTCAATTAAAGCGCAGCGGACACACGAACTTTATAAAGTGTTATTTTCCTTTCGTACTCATGCATGATGATGATGATGGATTGCTGCTTCACATCCATTTTAAAGTTAAATGCATATTCAAGACGAGAACAGGTTTATATGAAATGAATTTTGAACCCTGCTTGGTTCTAGACCGACACGATGAGCCGGATTTTAAGCGTTCTAGTTCACAGGGTAACAGTCCACAATAAGACATGTCATCTTACCTGAACATATTTTTACTCCGGGCCGACCATTCTTTGCTTTTAAATATCAATACCGCATGATCAGCGGTGAAGCATCAAACTCAAATTGTCAAGTCTTTGATATGACCAGGTCAAGCATCGAGCTCACGACCTCCAGCACTCAAGGCGATTACACTACCACGAGACCTAAGAGACGATATATATTTTTGCATGACGTATTTGCCTCAATTTATTATTGATATAATCTGCTCAGTTATTGTTTACTTTGTTTTACTTTACAAACCGTTGTTATAGTTTGTAATTTTATATAAGATTTTCGGTTTACGTCAATCTGTATTGCTGCATGATTTTCGTTCGAAGAAGACTTTTTTTATTTTGTATTGTTTTGTTGACTTTGTCTTTACATCGTAATTCGTTTTTCTGCAATAGTGATATCAGTGTCTCTTCGTGTTATAAGCCTGGTATATCCCCTTGCTATCTTCTGCTTCTTTCTTATGCAAAAGAGAAGACTACTTTACTTTGTATTTATTTACATTACCTATATGACATGAACATATCAGTTTACACATTATAATACATTAGAAATCACCGATAATGCATAACATTCTTAAATGATGTATTCAAAATATTGATTTTATGTAGCCACGGTTGTATAACAAATTTTAACGCACAGGTGATAGCAGGTCGTAAGATTTTCTGAAAATACTTTTCTTTATATGGATATTTTTGATGCGCATGACTATTTCAGTTTGTCGTTGTTATTCATTGTTATTTGCGGAAGTAAATTTCGCATTGCTTGCGGATTTCTCATTGATCATCGCTAACTAAGGTATTTGTTAAAAATTGTCATTGTTCTATAATTAAGGTATTACCGACGCATGGTGCATGCATCATGCTTCCATCATTTCTGTTATGTATTACTAACTATAACATTATTGAGAGTAGAAGGCATCTGTTCAGATTAGCATTTTATTCTACACTAAAATAATCAAGCAAGTTAACATATTATATATCGCGACAATTGATACAACTGTGGTAGGTAACAGTCTAGGCGGTGCCATATGGTTTTCATCACTTTGAGGTTACAGTTCATTTGATAACAATTCATAGTAACTTTAATAGTTTATATTGACAGTTTCAATTATACATAACATTTCCTCCCTTCTAATTTTCGAATTCCATAGTAAAGTTATAGTATGTGAATGATAAGGTCATTGATAAAAATCAGCACGTGTGAAAAGAATGAATGAAAGAAATTACTGTCTATGTGTGTATATAAAAACTTTAACTATGAAAAACACTAATATCATGCATTCAAAATATTTATCCCTACAGTGATTGCAAAAGAAAAACTTTCGTTTCCTCGCGCACACAATCACGCCTAACATAGGTTGCAAAGGGAGTTATTATTACCCTTACGGCACTACAACCAATTTTACAAATTTAACTTAGTAACCGGCTTTCTGGTTCTCAACGGATATCTTCTCTGAATTGGTTCTGACAAAGGTAGTTCGCTGTCTTGTTGTTTCAGTTGTAGATCTTGTGGTTGCTCAGTTGGTTCATCCGGAATTATCTCTAGTTCAGCTGTTTTGTCATTTATAACTTCTTCTCCCTGTTTATCGTGAAAGTCTGAGTTTCGTATCTGGTCGGCATGACGTTTCCAGATACTGTTGGGCGAAACTTCTACCTGATAATTTAGCGGTCCTTCACGTTTGGTTACAAGTCCACTTGTCCATTTATTTGGTCCACGGTAATCACGTACGGCTACTGTTTCTCCCTCGGTAAATTGTCGTAAAGTCTCTTTTGTCGGTTTAATTGCAATTTTCATCTGCTTGTCTTGAACTTGTCTATTAATATCTGGTTTAAGTAAGTCAAGTCTGTTGCGTAAATGTCTACCCATAAATAACTTAGAAGGTGTTTCATTCGTTGTCGTATGGGGAGTGTTGCGATATGCCAGTAGAAAATTTGCTAATTTCTTATTTATATCTGAATTTCCCCCTCGCATGGCCTTTAAGCTCTGTTTGAAAGTCTGAACAAAACGTTCCGCGAGTCCGTTTGTTGCAGGATGGTAAGGTGCACTCTTGATATGGGTTATTCCATTCATTTTAGTAAATGTTTGAAATTCTGCTGACACGAATTATGGTCCGTTGTCGCTAACTATCTGCTCTGGCAATCCTGCTCTCGCAAATATAGTTCTTAACACTCTGATTGTTTGTGTTGAAGTGGTACTTTTCATCGGTATAACTTCAGGCCATTTAGAATGAGCATCAATGACAATCAAGAACGTGGCCACCATACGTAGCTCCTTGCCAATAATTTCATTTTCACTTCTCCTGGGTGCGCAGAATGTAACAGTTCTAAAGTTTGCTGTCTAAATTTTGTCGGAACAATAGTACGTATTCCCCACTGTAAACAACCTTGACTGGTAGAAAGTTCGTTTTTCCGGTTGAAATACGGTTTCAAGTCAATATCATCATTGACGGTCCAACCTTTTTGTACAAATTCATAGACTCTTGATAAGATCTTGTCACGCGCAGTTTCTCGTCTAATGTTGTTGTTCTTTAAGCTTAACTGTTCTAGTTGCTTTAACATGAAAACGTCAACTGCATCAAATTCCTCACCATCTGATTCTGTAGATTCCTGTGGTATTCTCGATAGCGCATCTGCGTTTGTGTGCTTGTTAGTGTTTTTGTACTCGATGTCATATGTATATCCACTTAAAAACAACGCATATCTCTGTAAACGTGCTACTGAAGTGGTAGAAATTCCCTTTTTCGGATTGAATATTGACACAAGCGGCATATGGTCTGTTATCAGTGTAAATTTACGACCATACAGATAAGTATGAAACTTTTTAACGCCGAAAATTATACCTAGAGCTTCTTTGTCGATTTGACTGTAGTTTCTTTCTGCTTTATTAAGTGATCTTGACGCAAAAGCAATAGGGCGCTCCGTTCCATCTTGCATTTTATGTGACAAAACTACCCCTAATCCAAATGGAGAAGCGTCACAAGCTAATCGAATAGGTAGTTCTGGGTCATAATGACATAGAACCTGCTCAGATGTTACCAAATCTTTGGCCCTCTTGAATGATACCTTACATTCTTTATTCCAATCCCATTTGACATCTTTTTCTAACAGTCTGTGTAATGGGCGCACAACAGATGAGATATTTGGTAGGAATTTATGTTAGTAATTCATTAATCCGAGGATTGAACG